GTGAGGCTTCTGCAGCCAGCAAAACTGAGGTCTTTTACCTCTTTTCCTGCAGCTTTGCATATGGCCTTGTGTTCCTGTAGTTTTGCCATCTCTTCCCTGTACAGCTCGATAGCTTCCATGATCCGCTCAGCCTGTGCAGCACAAGAATGGCACATCAGTGACACCAGACAAGCCAAAGCAAAGCTCAAGTCCAACTGGACAAATGGAGGTGGAAGTAGAGGGGCTGACACAGAGCATCACAGGACATGTTGCTCAGAAAGGTAACCTCTACTCCAGACTGCACCACCACCCTGAGCACATCACAGTCATGTCCTGAAGATGTCAAACACCATCCATATTCCCCCCACTGCCCCGGGAACTCTGCTGCAGCTTCAGTTGTTGACTTGACAATTGAACTACACCCCCAGCAATCAGTACCCCCTTCAGGCACAAGGGTCAGGCCATTTTGACTATTCAGATTAAGGATTTCCTCTGTATTTACAAGTGCACCAGACCATTGAAATCTGGGGCCATGAGATTACCCACCCCCACACCTTCCTGGTACACCTCCCGCCTCAGGCACTGCAATACATTTCCACCTTCCACAGATGCCCACAGGACTGGGTAGCCCTTTGGGGAGAGGCCTGATGCAAAGAGAACATCTCAGCTACCTTGTGCTCCTTTGGGCTGCAAACCCCAAAGGGCAAAGGCAGCCCCATCTGTCCCACATGTGACAGGCAGAGAAAGCTGCAGCTACAGGAACCCTGCACCTCATTCCCTGGAGAGATCTCAGGAGGAGATAATTCCTGGTGCATGACTCTCCAGAGCTAGACCTCTGCTTCTTGGCCATGGAGCAGGACACACTGCTCTTGCAGGCAGAAGTGATCTGCCCTTGTGACAGCACAGGTCACTCCTCTTCAAACTGCTGTTCCAACCCTCTGACAGCACCCTCCTTGAGAGACCGATAAGACACAAAGCAATGCTGGCAGACCCACACAATCTTACCGCTTTGATGGTTTCAATAGTCTTCTTTCCTGCCAGCCCAGTCTCTCCTTGCGTCTCTCCAGCCACCTACAAAATGCAGAGTTTGCAGCTCCCTCCTTCCGCAGCTGATACACACAGGCACCCCCTGCATCCTACCACAGTCCCTACTAAGAAAAACATCAGCCCCATTCTCTGAACTGGTCATCTATCTGGGGAAACACAGGACTTCCCAAGTGCACAGCTCTTTGTCAGGAACAGAGGCACCGTGCTAACACTGAGCCCTAGGAGGCAGGTAAACACAGCTCTTGTTTTGACAACAGAGGCCGAGTGATCTGATCGGTGTCAAAACGATCAGCTTCAAAACGATCAGCAACACAACCCAAACATCTGAGCAAAAGCAAGCAGGCTTCCCCACCCGTCCTGCACTACATGGACCTGGAAGCAGCTGCCCGAAAGCAGCCCAGCCTTGGTACAGAGCTGGTGTGAATGTGAACTGGGGAGATAGGAACAGCAAAAGCACAGCAAGGTTTCAGCATCCACAAGCACTGTGTAGTAGTTTGGCCAGCTCCACACACTCTCCTGAAGGTGTCTGTAGGAAGTACCAGAGTTAACTGCATCATGGGGCAACCACAGCTTCAGGAGCACCTTCCCCCTCTGCACCTCCTCAAAGCAAGAAAATTATCAGTCCTCTCTGACTCCTCTTCTATGCCTCTTACAGAAATAGTTATTCCAAACTTTGTACAGTCAGACTGACACACTCAGATGGTGCAACTCACCACAGGCTGGTCCTCCTTCGCCACACTCTCTTCATATTCAGCTTCTCGTTGCTATAGTGGATGAGAACACAACATATTAACACAGGTGAGCAGGCAGCAAGCAAGGATACAAGTCCCTTCCAGACTGGTTGAGCAAGGGATCCTGCAGCTTCATGCAGCCCATTGCAAAACCAGGACAAATCAGCAGAGATCAACAATGGCCTGGTCCCAGCCCCATGGAGAACTCTGGAATCTCCCAGACAGAAAGAACTCAAGGTCTCTGCTCTGGATGCAGGAACAGCCCTCAGACAGCCCACCAAGCTGAGACAGAGACAACTGCAATTCTGCACCAGACCTTCCACCTGACACACAGCACAGAAGAACCAAGCCTAGCAAAGTCCCAGGGTTGTCCTAGCCTGCAAGAGGAAAGAGCCTCCTGTCCGGCATCTCTCCCGTGAACAGGGCCCCCATCAGTTTGTAACTCACTACCAGTGTATTCATGCCACACTTTTCTGGCATCTGGAGAAGGAGCTGTCTCTGTCTCTCCTTTTACCACCATCATTCCTAGCACACCAACCACTGGGCATCACGATACTGCCTGTGTGCCTCAGCTCTCTGCAAAGAGGGTGGGATAAAAAAAAAAATATTATTGCAGGTTTCTCATCCACTCTTGCTTCTGCACGTTTCTACATCCTTACCCACTGTGGTTTGAGAACTGCTTTAAAAAGAGGATACAGCACCAGACTCCTCTAAGGGATACAGTGAGAAGACAAGAGTTACAAATTGTACAAGGGAATTGCATCTGCCAACCCCAACAGTGGTTCAGCACTAGAACAGGTGCTCAGCCAGCCTGGAAAATCTCCTTCCTTGGAGATGTTCATGTATCAAGACAAGTCTCTGAGCAGTCTGATATATCTTTAAGGTTATCCTGCAGCGAGCAGGGAGGGTTGGACTACAGACCCCCAGAGTTTCCTTCCTATTGAAGTCCTTCTGTGAGTCTATGATTCCCCACAAAACATGCTCAAATGGAGTAGAAGGGGCTTCTTCCAGCACCCCTGAGCTCTGGGGCCTGCTACAGAGATAGAATGGTTGGAAAAGATGAAAGCAAGACAAACTGCATTTTACAAGAGCAGTTCTCTCCATCACTCCACAACAGCCAGCTGCTGAACTGCCTCCAAAGCATACTTTAGTTGAAAGGAGTACAAGAGAATAAAAGAACGTCAATGACTGCAGCCAACAGGCCTGTATAAAACCACAGCTATAGAGAAAAGTCTGGGAAGCGAGAGACGCAAAGCAGAGAGCAAGTTAGCCAGGCACCTGCAATGCAGTACAAACAGGCAAGCACCTGCAACATCAGCAGTGCTGTCTCCGGACAGTTCAGGGCAACAGTCCCATCATGCAAAAGACACCAGTCAGCTCTGGGCACCTCAACACCAGGCTGCGGTTAGTAATGAGCAAGTCTGACAAGTGCAGAGCCAGACTCTTCCACAGTGAACACTGAGAAATCTGCCTGCTGGGGAGAAGACAGGTCTGGAAGTTGTCTTTGGCAGGAAGGATGCAACTCTCACCATCTCCCTCTCCTCTTCCAAAACAAGTGGCTCCCTCGTCCTTTCCCAGAGCCGCAGCGACTTGTCATGGGATGCTGACACCACATAGTCTCCATTGGGACTAAGTGCCAAACACCACACCTCCTGGTGATGCCCCTGCAAGGAGGACAGAAGAGGTAAGACATAAACACCACCCAGCTCCCAGCCTGCAAGAGAAGTGCTGCTCATGTGGGGATAATAATTCCTTTCAACAGTTTCCAAAACCTCCTACCTCCAGTGTCTGGATATGCTCAAATTTATCTGCATCCCACTGCTTAATCTTGCTGTCCTTCCCAGCTGTGAAGAAGAGATGGGATTTTGCCACAAACTGCAGATACATCACACTGGAAGGGAAAAAGGCTCAAGTTCACTCACTTGGGGAACACTGGAGACTTCCCCCTATTCTATGCTGGACAAAAGGGTTATTGCTCGATCACAACCCCTTGGAGATAAGACAGCCCAGAGATGCTGCAGGATTTGACTGACCTGTCATCATGGGCAAAAAGAGAGCGGTGACAGTCCCCGAAATCCAAGCCCCAAATCTTCACACTCCTGTCAGCAGAGCCTGTCGCAATTAGAGTCCCATCCTACAGAGCAACAAAGAGAGAGGGTGTGGGTAGCTGGCTGTCAGCCCCATCAGGAATTGCTGCTGACCCAGTCACTAAGCAGTGCTGAGTAGGCAGTTACCTTGCTTCTGCAGCATCCCCTCCTGATCCCCTCACCTCCGCTCACCAGGGTGGCCTATGCTTGTGGTACTGGCACAGCCCACTGCCAGCACCCTGGCTCTTTTCTGAACCTCTGCAGGCATTTAAGACCTTAACTATATCTTGACATTTTTGGCTTCCCATGAGACCCATTCCAAGGACACCCCAGAGGAAGATGCAGCCCAAGAACGAACAGGCTGCTCAACCTCAGCACCTGCTCTCTGCTCCCACTAACAAAGAATTCAGGCTGCTCCCACACAGTAACTTTAGCAGAGAGCAGGCTGTAGGGAACCACAACAGCATTTGGATTTCCACTCATTCACAAAATGCCCTGGTCAGTTCTGTCATGACTGCTGCCCCATGACCCCTCCCAGTGAGCACAGGACTGTGGGATAAGGAGGGGCTTGCTGTGTCCTATCATGTCCTATCATGTTGGGAGCAAGGAGGTGACAAGAAAGCATTATCCTAGAGGCCTTGCTGCCAGTAGACGTTCCCACAGTCCCATAACACCACAGTCTCATATCACCACAGTCCCACCTAACACACAGCCCTAACGATACTTACATAGGAGATGTCCATACACAGCACTGGCAGCTTGTGTCCATACAAAGAGAGGAAAAACTGAAGCAGAAGAAAAGTGTCTCAGTTAGACATGCTGGGTACAGATGTGCAAAAATCTCAAGCCAGGCTAGTTCTGCTCTGTCTCAGGAGCTCTGTCTTTCTAGCACTGCCCCACTTTCATCTTAACACTGTTAAGCAACAGGGCCACGATGGCCGAACTGAGGTAAAGGTGGAAGCACCCAAGCAAGCTGAACAAACTCTGGTGCTAATCACAACTGCCTATGGAGTTTATCTCTGTTTCTCTTTGCCTTCCTGTCAATGCTGGTCTGTCTTCTGTCATTCCCTAACATTCACATGCTAATACACAAGCAAAACCACCACACTCCGCTCACAAGGAAGATTCTCCTCCCCCAGGCTCTGCTTTTGCTGTGCCCTATTTAATGCCATGTGTGACACATCCCTTACACCCTTACAGTGCCTCACAGCTCTGGAGTACCACCATGTCCACAGGGTTTAGAGTGAACCTTGCCACCCGCAGGTTCACAACACTCCCCAGATGAAAAATGTATCTTCTCCCCAGTGTGGGCCAGCCATGGTTCTGTCAGGTTTGCTAACAAACAGGCACCTGAAGCGGGATGCATGGTCTCTCTTTGATTCTTACTAGTGTCACACAATAAATAGACACTTTTCCTATGAATTCCTGATCTTTCAGGCTACAATTACATCACTCCCTGCACAGCCTCACAGCCCATTTGGTCATGCACCTTGAGTGTGTCAACATAGAAAATCTTCACAGTGCAATCCAGTAAGGAGACAGCCAGCAGTGTCTGTTTGGGGCTGTACCGCACACAGAGAACATCTTCATCCAGCTGCAAAATGCGCACATGTTTCATGGAAAGCCTGGCAACAAGAAGAGGAAAAAACCAATTGTTATCCCAAACAAACAAGCTGGGAAGAGGTATGTACACAACTCCCACACTGCACTCTGGGAAAGCAAGTTAATTCTAACACGCAGCATCTCATTTCTCATTACAACTTGAACAGGATAGGACTGGAAATAGGCACAGCACTGCAGGCTGATAAACTTCACTGCTAAATTTACTGATTAATAATCTGAAGGCCCACCCCTGTGATTAGAAGCTAAACTCACAGACAAGTAAGAGATCAGAATGTGCAGCAAGTGTCCTTCCCTGGCTATGCTGAGACCTTTACAAAACAGCACTGAGCTCACACTCTTCTCCACACATTCCACATACATGTCATGGGCATTTCTTCCAGTGCACAGCAAAGGCCAAAGCATCCGTCAGTGACAATGGATACTGCAGCTGAATGTAGTCTAGAAGGGTTTATTTTCTCACCTTTTCTGAACACTGCTCTCATCCTTCACAAGCTCAAACTCCCAAAACTTGACACATTTATCAGCACCTCCTGTCACAAAGCCACGCTGCAGGGGAAAACAAAAAAATTGTGAAACCAGTTTTGCTATAACCCAGAGAAATTCTACAGCAAGGAGCTGTCAACACACAAGGAGGTTTTTGAAATGTCCCACGTTTCTACAGTATTAATGATTAAGTGGATGCCACCAGGAACACTTGCTCTGGTTGGAGCATGCATTACCCATTTGCTGAGCAACAAGAAAATTTTCAAAAGCTCTGTCAAGGAGGTCTAAGACAAAGGCTCCAAATGGAAATCAAGACATGGACGGAAACTTTGGGACTGAAAGCAGTCATCTCAGCTGTAGGTAATGATGTGCTTGTGTTCTGCAGGCAAGTTGACACTCTCACTGTTATTAGATCTCACACATCTTACCAGCACCCCACAAGCACAGCCTTCTAAAGGAAGAACAGTTCAACATTATCCCTTTCACATTAAGAACAAAGGTAAGTCTGTCACATAGGCTTTAATCTGTAGGATGAATGAATCTCAGGCAGGTTATTACTTGCTATGTTTTTTATTCCACTAAAAACCACTCCAGCTTCTAGCGCAACATGACCACATATGCCTTTCTTATTTTTCTTACACAACAAATGGAAGAAAGTGGAAATTGACAGAAACCAACGTGAACCTGAACTGTGGTAATGGAGACAAACTGAAACCAGGAAAAGACACAAACAGATTTCTACAGGCAGGGTGATTAGGCCAAATAGAGTGAGAGTGTCCATGTAAAATGGGAACATTCAAAAAAATAAATATTTTCAGTAGTACTGACCCATTTCTTTAGGGAAGTATGAGAACTATTAAGCAGCAACCCTCAGTAATGGGTTCAGTAAACATTTCTCATCTGTTGTGCTCAGGGAAAAGACACGTACCATAATCACATTACATGACAGTGATGAAACACTGCTCCAAAAACTCACAAGGCTACCAAAAGGCAGCTACCTATATCAGACATTTATAAATCAATGGTTCAGACCCCCCAAATCCAAGACTTATACAGAGCAGAATTAAGTACTCTCTGAATTGTCAGTGTCCATTCTCAACAACTTCGCAAATACTGGAGGAGATCCAGGAAGAAACTAATGTAATGCCCTAATTCAGACAGAGTAAACAGGGAGGGCTGGTAACTGTGAGCATGGTCAACAGAACTAACACGTAATTGCAGTTTCCATCAAACAAAGTAGGTAAACTGAATATGGAGAAAAAAGCTTCTGGAAAATTAATTTGACAGGGATTATCCTCTTCCTCAAGATTAAAGCTGTAGTTGATAATAGTAACAGTGTTGCTCATGCAAGGCATGCCTCTGTCTTGTGTTACATTTTCATTACTAAACTACGATAATATAGTTCAACAAAGCACATACTCCATGGATTAAAGATCAGCTAAGAGGTTTCAAAGCTTTATTTTAAATGAGAAATACCTAACAACTTGACACTATGCTGCTTACAGGTTTTATGGATTACTAGAAAAATAACCAATTAAATGTATCCATATAATGTCAGAGCTGTTCAATCTATCTGAAAAGGAGTGCCCAAACAGAACCAAAACATTTCATCTATATGGTAGGAAGCAAGGATCTAAGCCTCACATATATGCCTTCTGCAAAACTGGGCCCCAAAATGGGCTTTGGGGGACCCAGTGGATTATTATCTGAAAACACATTCTCACTGCAGAGCTACCACCAAAAGAGCTAATTAAGTCCTTACGTAGATTCAAAAGGCACTGGTGCATTTGGGACTGGTATAATTCCTATCATACAGTGCACACAGATGCCAGGCCACCAGCAATAAAAGACTACAGTAACTTTAAAAAATACCACAAGAACAATAAAGAGCCTGGAAAACACATCCTGCAGGGACAGAAGTTCAGCCCAATGACCATCAGATAGATGTGGAGGGTGATCTGGTCACTCAAGAAGAGTGCAACACAAATTAAAAATATCACTATGTTGATGAGATCTTCAATCCAGCAGACAAGCAGCCAATTTAACAAGGAGGATAATCAGCCACTGGAGCAAGTTACAAGGGGCTGAAGCTCTCCACAGCTGGAACACATCCACAAGGTATGTATTGTTGCACACACAGACTCCTCCAGGGAAGTCCGAGCGTTCTCAATCATGCAGAAGCCAGATGATGTGATGGGGATTGCCCCACTTAGCCCAAAGACTTACTGCCACGTGCCACACAATGGGAAAGATATTTAATCAGGCTGTGCATGTATCCACAGTTAAAGTTCTTAAACGTTACCAGCTGCATCCTCCATCTCCCAGAATGAGGGGTTCCCATGCTCCTGTCAGTAGTGCAAACAGCACTATTGGAAGGAGCTACATGAAAAGACATGCCACAGATGATACTGAGAAGGGTGGCTGAGTTACCTGGTCTGGTGAAAGTGCAATGGACCACACTGCCCCATCGTGAGCGTTAAGTGTCTCCATCAAACTTCCAGAAGCCAGGTCATACAGCTGCAGCTTCCCTGTCTGGGGAGAAAGATATATCACAGAGGATGAATCAGCCCCTCCACCTTCACAACACATGATAGCTCCTAGCAGAGGAGCACCCCTGCCACCCATCTCCCAAACAGCCAGCTTCATTAGATGGCCAAACTCCTGATCTCCATCAGGGACTTCCCAAAGCTCTCCTCAGGTGTCCAGCTGAAGCCCCAAGAACTACATGAAGAGCCTGGAACCAGAGCAGAACCTGACTGACAGAGAGGTTTTTACACCTAAAAAAAGAGTTCTCCAGATCAGAAGGTGCAATGCTTTTTCTGTAAGGCTGCCTTAATGACGTTTTCATAACATATTTCCAGACCTGGGCAGCCTGGAGTGCAGAAGGACACTATTTACCTTGGTGCCAATGATGACCTGCCGATCTCCTGGGACAAAGAGTGAGCAGAGTGCATACTCGCAGTCCATTGTCCTGATGCACTGCAAGGTCGATCTGTGGACAAAGGCAGAGCCCAAAAACTCTTACTACACACAAAATCTGGCCCACGAAGTGAGACATGTTCCAGAGTGGCCTCTGCCCACAGCAGTCTTTTCAGCTGGGACCAGAAGATATACCACCACCATCCTATGACCCAAATGTTATCCAGCATTACTGCTAAGAACATTTTTCCACAAAAACATGCCATTACACAGTCCACCATAGGGACTTACTGCTGTTATGAGCAAGGACAGAGCTTCTGTTCTCAAACAGCAATTCCTATCGTTCAGGAGAGGAGGGCAGAGTATAAGACAGCACGCTCAGAGGAAAGAGAACTTGAAATCGGCATCACTCAGGAAACACTGGGACAACACTCTAGATCAAAAGAGCAGTCTAATACTAGATCCTTCAGATAAGATGCCAAGAAACCCACACATTCCCTAAAGAACAGGCAGTAGCTATTTTAGAGTAATAGTTAGTACCTCTTATTAAAAAGGAAGAAAAACCAACCAAATACAGTCTGTGCTGGACTGCTATGTATGACCTTCATGTTTAGAGATTTGTCTTTCCATACCTGCCACTAAACTTAGCCACGGTGCTGCTTTACAGCATCAAACTCCATGAGTAAATTATGCAGTTTTAGCTCTATAGCTTCTCAGTTTCCTTATTAAGTAAAGAAGTCAAATAGTTTTCTGTTTACTTCATTCACTATTTCATATTTCTCCATTGTCCCCTCTTCCTTATCACTGTCTCTCTGAACACAGCAACCCTGAGTTCTGGGAGATTGACACACATAGGGCAAAGGGACTGACGTAACTGGACTGTTCACCTGTTCCAAATCTTTACAGACTCCGCAGCTGCTGAGAGAATAGCAATGTTGTCAGAGCTAAAAGCCAATGTCCTGACATCACTGCGGTGGCCTCCTATGGTTATCCTGGATGCACGGACAGCCTGTGGGACTTGTGCTGACAGGTTCAGGTTGTATGACTCAATGATGTTGTTCTGGAGCAGCAGCACGATCTTCAGCTCTCCTTTTGGAGAGAGAATCAAGTCAAATGACCTGTTTGATTAGACAAAATCAGAGCTGTACACAAAGGCATTAAGACAAATTGTAGGAGGGATCAAGAACAACTGAGAAAGAGGAATATAGACAGAGTGCACACCACAAGCAAGTGCACACTAAACCACAGAGGTGTGCAAGAAGGGGACCACTTGTGGAAGAGAAGAGGTGTGAATGGACAGGAGATCATGGCAGGCCTCTCCCCAGCTCCAAGCTGTCGAGGGGGAAACTACTTCTGCCCCTCCCTATACTGAGCTGTGCAGAGCTCTCTCCAGGTAGCTGCATAATCACAGCTCAGCCTCTACAACAGGCTTTCCACTCACTTGATCTTAGAAGAAGCTCTGATGTTAGTGACCCGCTGAATCTCCTCCTGCAGGCTCAGCTCCACACTCCTTTCAGGCTCCTCTTCAGAGTTCTGTCTAGAAATGTCAGATAACAGATGACAGTCAGTAACTCAAGCAGAGCCAAAAAAAACTAACACAGAGAACAACACAAGGAAACCACTTAGCCTGCTGGAAACAACCACCCTCTTACCCAGCAGCGCAAACTACATTTAAGAACAGGGTGAGACAGGTGAGTTCATGCTAGTATTCAGACTACTAAAGAGAGAAACTGTCCTAAAAAAAGGCAACCTCCCCTGCAGCCAAAGCACTTGAACAAGGCACGTTACAAAGATGGATACAACACAAAGCTGTGTTTGAGAGGGAGATCAGCTTCTGCTCATCTCCTACCGCTCACCAAAAGTCCATTCAGCCATCACTAAAAATGCACCTCCAGATTTACAGGCCCTGTACTTCAGTTTCTACCCTGGAGGCAGACCTCTCCCTAAGGGCTGTTGTGAGGCACCCTGTTAAGGGCTAAGATACCCAGAGAGACACTTAACACAAAGTAAATACTCATAAAGCTTTCACCTGTATCTCTGCCTGCTGTAAAACAGGAGATGAGGTATTAGAGTCACTCTGACTTCTCAGATTAAACTCTCATTCCTGTACATCCTATCAAGAGCTTTATTTTATGCACCAAGCAGTGTAAATGCAAATGTCAGGTAGAAGTAAGCAGCTCTGGAAAACCCATTTTATGTCCATTCCTTTGCACATTTTTTTTTTTCTGCAGGAAAACTCAGAAAGAAAGGTATTTCCTTAGTCTCTGGGAGCACTGTTGCTCAGAACAAGCACCAAGGATGCACAGGAACAGTGACCGCAAAATACAACAGCACAGAATGACCAGTAGCTTGGAGTTCAACCACTGTATCATGCTGCTGAAGGGCTTTTCCAACATTTCTCTAGACACATAGAGCATCCAAATACATCCAAAGGACTGCTTACTTGGCTTTTTTCTTTGCTTTCTTCATTTTCTTTTCCAATTTCTTTTGGACTTCCTCTTCAGAAAGGACAGAGAACACTTCCAGAACAGCATCTGTTCCCTAGAGACAGAACAAAGTTAAAGGCACACAAAGCCCTGCCTGGCCCTTACAGAAATTACCCAAGGTCTCTAACAGCCTCCTCCACAGCTCGATAGCAGAGCTCCCCATTACTTACATGGCAAGCCAAAATCTTGCCTGTTTGGTCTGTGGCAAGAGTAACTACTCGATCTCTCCCTTCCCGCATGATGGATCCAACTCTGCTGCACTTCACAAGGCGTAAAGAAGAAGAACTTTGGTCTGAAAGGTCAAGTGATCTTCTCAAGCAAACTCCGAAACCTACTAGCAGGGGAAGTCAAGAGGACAAGAGCAAGAAACAAACCTTCAGAGTCCAGCTAGCAAGGATAATCTAAGGACAAAACAAGCATTTGTGTGAGCTTCAGGCTTATTTCCTTATGTTTGGTTTCATTTTAGCTGAAAATGATGATTGACAGTCTCAGTGGAAGAATAACTTCACTTTATTGGCAAATAGCATAGCATATTTAAGAGTCAGAGACTAATTTTTATGCTACAAAGGCAGCAGAGCTCAGTTCCGCTGTCAGAAGAGGCAGAGAAGGTGATAACAGAGACTCTTAACCAGGTGAAGGGAGAGAAATCCTTTGGAGAGGAAGTTGGAAAGGTATTTAACAAGACCAGGTATCTACCATAACTACAAGCAGTCTGAAATCTGAGCAGGACCCCAGAAAGTTCCACCAGAAAGACAGATTCAGTAAAGTCTCCATCAGCAGTACAAGTGGGAATGGCTTTCCACAACTGAATCTCACACTATACTTTGTTATGGTTATTCTGACCTCTCAGCTTCAGCTACTGACCTGAAAAGCTGAGCAACAGCACTGAACTCAGCAGCTGCCAACCTACTAGTAACTATTTTATTCCCATGTAGTTCAATGAAAGAGCCCTGTTAGCACTGTCAAACACTTGCTAGTCCCCCTGGACAGAAGGCAAAGTAAAAGCTTTCAGTGCAGCATAGCATGTGTATGTGTTTTGGCACACACACTTCCGCTGATGTTCTGCAGGTAGATGGGGAAGAGGATGTTGCTGAGGAAGATGTTATGAAGCAAGACAAGAATTACCACATTTTCCCTAAAAGGCTAAATATGACACTAGGGTTATAAACCCAGTACAGAGGAGCAATGTGTGAGTGACTCTCAAACACCTGCTGGCTCTGCAAGCAGCACCATGCAAATGGGGTTTGATACACCACCCCACAGACAGCATGGAAAACTGAGCTTACTTCCTCGGGATGCTCATCCAGCTCTAGGGTCTCATCCTCTTCAGTGTTTTCTTCTGCTCCAGATGAAGACCCTTTGCTTTTCTTGGATTCTGGCTCATCAGGGTCTTTTCCCTGTTCATGGACAAAAAAACCATAAGGAATACCTTAAACCACAAGAGTGCACTGGTTCCTATCTCACTTACACTTAATTTCCCTAGGGGAACAAGTGGTTAGCGTACACTGCAACACAGGCGTGGCCTCCAGCATGCCTGCAGGCACCAAACACTCCATGTCTTCCCCTGCTTATCATCCACCCACAAGACTGGCTTCTCTAGCCATAAGCCAGAAAGGTCTGACACACTCTGGAAGCCTTCTTCTGCAAGTGCTCGCAGCTTCACTTGTACTTGCAAAACACAGAGAACAGCAAAGTCTATCCCAAGAGCAGCTTCTGGACCCCTCAGGCAGCAAAGGCATTGCTTTGGCTCTGTTTCCAAGAACACCAATTAGATTTAACATGTTCTAGTCCCATCTTAGTCCAAAGACAAGTAGCTGGGCAAGACGGTGAGTGGTTACAGAGTGAATATCTTACCTCCTGGATGTAAGTGATATCCCACACCCTCAGCTCACTGTCAGCACTCCCAGTGATTAGACGCTTCTCTTCAGATATCAAAGCCATTCCCCAAACCTGTCCAAAAGCACAATGTAAGGGAGTGGCTTATGCCTCCTTCAACTATCACAACAACAGCAAAGCATCTTTAATTGATTTATTTCAATGGCAACCCAAGACTAGATCTAGCCAGGACCTCCTCTGGGAACATCTGTATTGGAATTGTCACCCACTGCATGTTGATGACAGCTCCTGGAAAGTTTGGAAGTTTCTCATTTGCTCATCTCTAAAGCCTAATTACGAGCAAAATGTATCACAGTGCCGGTTTACAGATCCTGAGAGCAGGGAAAGCACCAAGTGAGCCATGACATATAATGCAAAGTCCTTCTACCCCAACAGCTCCCCACACATCCTCTTTACCTCAGTACGGTGTCCAACCAGAGTTTTGAAACAGTGCTGGGTGTCCAGATCCCACCATTTCACCAATGTGTCTTTGCCGCTGGAACAAAGAAGAAAAAGTGCCAAAAATGAGGAAAGATGACAGAGGTCATGTGCTTACAAAAGCAGTAAAAATACAAAATACCTAAAACATGCCACAACATATCACAGAGCAGCTGCTCAGACTCTGAACTTTGCAAGCTATGCAAGGACAAAGTATGGCAATACACAGGTGCTGTCAAAAGATATCTAGCAAGTCACTGAAAACTGGCTCCTCTTCTGGATTCAGCTGCAAGCCCCTGTGTCACACAGCCCTCTTCCTCACTTATTTAGGGTGAGAACAATACTCTTTACTTAGGATGAGAAAAGAGGCGCAAAGTGCTGATCAGTTCTAAAGCTGCCTCTAAAACCCTCCACATTCTCAACCTGTACCATGCCTGTGCATTGACCAGGCTACAAGAAAAGCAGATTCCTTCATTTTGAGCAGTGATTTGGAGCTGTTTCTCCTCATGGAGAATTACAGCTGTTTCAGTCCTTCAAAGTCCCCATGGGATTAGAGCTCCTTGGAAACAAATTTCTGGTTATATTATACTAGTCAAATGCTACAAGAACACGTGAGAAAAATAACTTGAACATTTATACAGGTTTTTTCAGTACACCCTACAACAATTCATACTTTTTTATTTTTTGCAACTTTGTTAGAGCATATTTTCCTCAATAAATTTCAACTAAATCAAAATATAAAACTTGTTCCATTACAAAGCTCCCTCAGGACAAAAGAAATCTGATTACAACTAACATTTATTGTTAATCCATCTCTTTTGTTACATAGGATCCAAAGGTAAATTGGACATATGAAAATGTCACAAAAAATTCTGTACATATAGGACTGCAGTAAGCTGCTTGGGCAAAAAGACAATCTAAAGTAAGAAAGCAAAACTTTGCATCTCTACTCTGTTAATAAAAAAAAAAAAGAGATTAATTCTTTATCTCAATTTAGCTAGAGAGAATTAAGAAGCATTTCTAAAGCCGACCTGCAAAGACTTGAAATTGCATTACAAACAGGCATCATCTACCAAAGCAACAAAACTCCATTTGAAACAACAAAAACACACAAGAAACAGCTTGTGTTGAATAACTAAAAACCAATTCAAAAACATCTATCATCCTTCAGTTAATTCCTTTAATTACAGCTTACTAGGAAGCAACGTTGCTGTGTGAATTACACTTACAGAAGGTAAGTCTCCTTAATTCTTCAAGAAAAACAGCAAAAATGGTTACATATATAACAAACATATTAGCACTATTCCTTGTAACAGTAATTCTAAGTTGCTGTATTTACCAGCAAGTTAAACCCTTTCACAAACACTATTTTTCAGGATAGCCATTTCAGTTCCTCTTAACACATTTGGATTCAGGCACCAGACTTACAAAATACGTGAATGTGACAAAATCATAATCTAAGATGCTAGTGGGTCTGAGATATCATGAGTTGAGAAGAAAAATACAAATGGCTGTAGCACCTAGGACGTCTAAATTGCAAGTAAGATCATGGCTGCTTTCCTGATCAACCACTCACTTAGCCTGGCTCACCTGGTGACTAGCAGGTTCTTTTCCTTCAAGAAAAGGACTTGTGTGACAGCATCCTTGTGTCCTCTCAGCCGGTAAAGACCGCTCTCATTGATGACATCCCACACGATGACATCTGTATCCTGGAACAGACAGAATGCCTTCAAGGGACTGCCTTTTGCTATTCCTGACCTCACAAGCTTCTTCACCTTTAACAGCTCTTCTAGTACCCCACTCCTGCCTCCCAGCCCTGGGCTCCCCAGCCCCATCACTGTCTGGCAGCCCTAACTCCTCTCACCACCATCCTCTGGCTATACGCAGAGGTCACATAACCCACTTAAAACACCAAACATTTTAGGGCAGGTCAACCTTCTCCACAGAGCATCTCTGTGAAAGAGCAGTCCTCCAGATGTTGAACCCTCACCTTTGAGCCAGATACCAGCCGGCCACCCAGATGGTCATACTGCAGGGTTGTAACTGCCGCCTTGTGTCCATTGAAAGTGATATTTACTTCTCCACTTAGGAGGCTGAAGACACGGATTGATCCATCTTCATAACCAACAGCCAAATGCAACCCATCTGGGGAGGGGCAGAGGCAACTGACCTCCTGCTTGAGACCCTTAAGTATAAGAACCTGCAATTTTTAGGGGACAAAAAACATATAACGTTGATAAGTGACATGCCAGAGCCAGATGCTCCCACCTCCAACTGAATGCTTCTGCTGCTTTAGAAGTTCATTTTTTATCTTCCTGTGCCAAATACAGTGTAACCGGCCCCAATTTAGAAGGCAGACAGGAGCTAATGGGAAGTAATTTTGCACAATCACATGGGAAACTGGTGCAGAACGACGTCCGGAACCCAGAAGCCTGAATTCCTGCCCTGCATTTTAAGAGCCAAAGAGCAAGGAACCCTGTTTGAGAGTAAAGTCTGAAAGGTTCCTCGTGACCCATCCCATCTTGCTTGGCCTTTTTCAGGTGTAAGACAGAGCTGCTTTTCCACAGACTGCATAAGAACTTGAGAATGATAAAAAATCTCCAATACAGCATGGCCAGCAGTCACCCATCTAAGGGGCTGGAAAGCAAATCCTTAATTCAGTTTGTAGTGTACAGTAGCACTTCGGATGATTTCAAACATGTGGAAAAGTCCTTAAAGTTACAGCTCACAAAGCCCCTCGGGGATACAACTTAGGAAGTCCAGTTCCCCAGCCAAAACACGAACTCCACGACATCTCCGTTTCACCCCAAACTCTCACACAGCTCTGCTGCCGGTCCCCAGCTCAACAGGGAACAGCCTCGCAGCCCCCGGGGCGGTGATCGCTGCCCCCAGCTGAGGCACCGAAGGCAAATCTCACAGGACCAACACCCCTGAGACCCCCCCCGGGGCGCGCCCA